ATACTACTACTATATATATATATATATATATATATATATATATATCTACAATTGTACAAAATATAAGATATATATGTGTTACGTTTCTGCAAAATTGTACAGAAAATATATATTTTTACGTAATACCTAACTCTCAGTGATTTATATACCGAAACCTTTAGAAACTTTTACTTTAAGGAAATTCATACGTTTCACAAGAAGGAGAACTTACTTCTCTTATATGAAATAGTCGCTGAAATGAAATTTAAAATTCGATGGCTGTTCCACGAGAGTGCACGAAATGCATTTTTACTGCGTCTTTCGTGCATTTTTATTTTATATATATATGTATTTTTATTATATGTATAAAAAATGATAAAAAATCGTAGATGAAGGAGAGACAGGGAGAGGGGCACGAAGAGGGCTGTCGGTAAGTCAATTTTCACCGTGGTTATTCGAGTAGTCAGCAATCGATTAAACACGCGCTAAATGGATTCTGGTCACTTCCTCTTAATCCATCGTGACCCTAATGGGTTTTAAACCATCGCGAAATGTCATCGGACGACCCGTCTGCGGTCAGACTTATTGCCTATTTCGGATTAATATTCCAGCATAACGTAAAATTCCATGCTTTGATCAATCGAGGATATGTGAAGTTGACTTCTAATTGAAATCTCGTCGTCGATAGTGAAACCGAGAGAAAAAGAATTTTAGGTCTTGTGTGTAATGTGAATTTTCCGAGAATGCATCCTCGCATTTGCCCGCAATGTTTACGAGACGCAACAAAGAAAATTGGAGAAAATGAGAAAGATCATGATCTAGGCAATCATTTCGTGTAAGAATTCAAAAGCAGAAAGAGAGAGAGAGAGAGAGAGAGAGAGAGAAGTGAGAGTTGTGAAATCAAGGCAAGCTGTGGGAACGATTAAAAATTCCTAGTATGACATATACAACTAGGTCGAGACATCTAATTGTAAATCTTGAACAAAAGGCTAATTAAATATGAACAATATGGAATATCATTAACAATTCCCAAGTCACTTGCTGCTCGAAGTTATCTTATCCAATTTATAAAAAAAAAAAATCAATTTTTCAAAACCACACGAATGCGTCATTTTAATCTACGAGTTATATTGGAAATAATTGGCATATTTCTTCCTAACCATTACATTTTGACGCACGTAAAAGTTCTCTTCTTTTTTTGTATCGAAAATTCAGTCGGTCGTTATTATTTTTTTTTTTTAATGTTCCGATGCTTAAAACTTTAAATATTTCTGCACGATTGCGAGAATCGGTCGTTTCCGAAACTTCTGGCGAGGCGATTTTATATCGGGACGTGCTCACACGTATCTCTCGTAAATTTCATTGGTCTTCATTGCGTACGGATTTACAGGTTGACCTATACGGCCATTCCCGTGGGATTTAGCGGGGTTAACTCGTCAGTTGATCACGATCGATCGCAACCGGCCAAACTCGAGCAAATAGGAATAGGTTATTTCCATGGAAAATTTGCTTGGCTATAAATTTAGCGATAATTAATTCTCTTAACAATAGACAACATTCAAATTTAGGACGCGAAGCGGACGTCTCAATGTGCGTGAACTCTGACATTTCGATAAATATCAGTAAGATAAGAATATACTTCTTTTCACGATCTCTTTAAATTTTCATTAATAATTCACGCTTGCAACGAAAGACTTTGCCCGACTTGAATCACACCGTAATCGATCCGTGTTCGTTGTTCGTTTTAGGAAAAAAATGAAAAATGAGAACGTGTCGCGATCCCCGACGTCGTCTATTTTAAGCGTCGACGATGATGGCCGCTCTCTTTGTAGAAATCCACCTCGGGAACAACGATCCCGGCAGATCGCAAATGCACTTGGCAGATTCGTGGAGTTCATAACCGAAGTTTGTTGTTACGCGAACACTTCGACGTCGTCGCCCGGGTACCAACACACCTTTCTCCCTCTCCCCCTCCCTCCCCCTCCCCCCCCCGCGTTCCCGGGGTTCGGGTTTAATACTGGTTTAATCATGACCGGGTCCGCGAAGTTCGTCGTCTGTGGTTTTTGGCTGGCGCATAATACGCCCCCGCGGAAGATCGTACAAACCGCACGGTTTCCCCGAGGTGCAACCATTTCGATTACAGCTATGAAACTGCATCGTGTAACGGCGGAAACCGCCATGGCGATTGCCGCAATAGCCGCGCCCGCCGTTAAACGCGCCGCGACATGCAAAATAGTTATGCTACGCGGGGGGGGGGGGGAGGCTCTCAATTTTTGAGAACCGATTGTCGGGACATGCGCATGCACGCGCACCGACGTCTATTTGCATTGCGAAAAGTTTTTTATCCCAAACGAAAAACACGCGAAACACACGCGGCGCGCTGGTTGGTAATGGTTTCGAACGCGGCAAATATTTCTGCCCTTCGAAATCGCGCGATATTCTCCTCTTTTACACCTATACACCTATTCGATCTATTCGATTATTACTTTTTATTGAGGTACATGCTGCTTTTAATCTTTATTTTAAGAGAATTATGAAGATGAAATATCGAATTATTGACAGAAGACCGAAAGTGTAGGTAGAATTTTCAAGAATGTACGTCTGATTTTAAATTGGAACGCTATTAAATGTCATATAGTAACTTTGAAATATCTTTGAATATTGTGAAATTCTACGCAAAATATATTACAAAGTATGTAAGTACGCATTGTGAAATTCGAGAGCTTCGCCATTGGGAATCTTCAGTAGCGCAAAGCTGATCCGGATGTATTAATTAACAAGAATGCAATTATGTAATTTGCACATAATAACATTGCATGAACACTATTTGCGTAATAGAAAAATCAAAGAGAGAGTAGATAACGGATAGAGACTGGTTCTGTTCGGTTTCTGTATCGATAATCTGTTCTGAGAATGAATTTCAATGACAAAATAATTGTTAGCTCACACACAACGTTAAATTTAATGCGAAATTAATAATTATTCGGCTGATTTGGAAATATTGGAAACTGAAGTGAAATAATTATATAGATTTATATTTCGCCATCGGCATTTTTAATTAATTGAGATTAATGGAGAATCTCATACAAAGTCTTTCCGTTGTCTAATAACGAATAATAACGATATTTGCTAAGGTAATACAAAATGTGCTCTGCCAACAAGCACATCTTTTTCTTACGCTTTTTTGCGTTGGATAATTTATGAATTTTGGTGAAAAAAGATCACAAGGAGAATATTAGCACCACGTTGCCGCGCCATATTCCGCGTTTTCCTATTTTTACGCGTTCGCTGTTCAAACATTGTACTGTTACAAATCAAATATTTGCAATTGCATACATTCGTGAGAGGCTTTCAAGTTCTTTTGTTAACAGGGAATCCAGATTATCGATTAACGTCATTAGCGTAGAGAAAAAATATAGAAAAAAATAGAATAACGTCAGTCTTCAAACTTGGCATTTGTGTTTTGTCTCCCTTTTCTCTCTCGAATGATATTTTTAAATTGTTGAACCATCGGCTATTGTTTAATAATATAACATTTGCACGATATTCCCATTTGATGATATTCTTGATTATAATCGATTATAATTCGACGTTTATTATCTTTAATGAGATAAATAAGTAAAATAATTTGCGATTTACTTATATCGAATAAAAAGAAAATAAAAAGAAAATACGTTTAATCTCATACTTATTTTGGTAAAAATAATGAAAAGAACGATTTTGCTAAAACATATAAAAATTTGGCCAGATATATATTTGAAAATTG